GACACATTAAGTAGCACCAAGATTACATAAATAGTATCTGTATAGAAATATTGCTTCTATATTCCAGAAAAAAAATTTTTAGTTAAGAACCATAACAGAGAGAGTACAAAACTATGTAAAGTTTGGCCTCTCCTATAAAGATAAAAAGCTCCGATTAAGTTACCTATATCAGTGAGAAAGATCCCTTTGTGCTTCTCCTTGGTTACATCAATGACCATGTCAGTGATCCTGGCCATTAGCTTAATGAAAATGCAATGCCAACTGCAAAGATGCTAGTGGAATAAAAATGAAAAACCCCACTAGTTACATCAGCTAAGCAGTAGCTTGACCACTAAAATCTCAGGTCATATTAACAATTTAAAGAAAATCCATGTCAACGGGACGGGTCTTTTGCAACTGTGAAGGCTCGCACATTACAATTTAGCTGGCTTTATCATTTATTTTTAGATAAACACAAAATTTGAAAAAATTAATGTCATCAGTATTTACACTGATTTTTAAAATGGAACCAGGAAGGGATCCAAGCAACTAAAGCTAGTTAGATAAACATTTATTTCCAAGAAATTTGGTGGGAAGAGTTATTAAAGATAGAAGTATTAAGCACATCCACAGAAGAACAAGCCTTCCCAAGAACGAACCAGCAAGGCTTCTGTAAAGGGAAGTCCAGTCATACGACACCTTCATTGATTCCTTCTTTTTTGATACCCAGTCTCAGTAAAAGCATACTGAAATGTAAATGCTAGCTCATTATTTCATAAGCTTCAACTCAACAGGATTTACTTCTGAGTAAATATGCTTCACATTGTACTGCATTGTTTATTTCTCTAGATCTACTACAATATTACCTCCACCTGTCCTTTCAAGAGCTTAACCATAACAAAAAAGGCATTTATTCAGAGCATACTGAGACAGAGTTGTAGGGCTGCCAGAACCTGGGGGGGAAGGGTTTGCCCACTTTAGGGCCCCCCGATCTGCCGGCCCGGATCTGGCCAGTGACGGGATCCCCATCCCCAAAGTGCCTGGACTGGTCCGATGCTCTAGCATTTGGCCTGAAAACTCTATGGTATACTAGAGTGTCCCCCGGTGATGTGCCTAGTGTGATGACATCACTTCCGGGTGATTTCATCACGGCCCATGCACTATGCACGCACGCCAGAAGATCCTGGGAGAAGAGCTTCTCCCCTCCCACCTGCTGGAAAAATGTAGGAACCTGGCAACCCTGCAGAGTTGCCAACAGGCCTGAAGAAAAACTTCTTTTATGCATGGAAATGGGCAGCTGCAGCTTTTCATGCAATAACTTCACCACATAAATAACATCCCATTAAGCCTCTGTTAAAGAGTCAGAACATTTTTTCTCTCTGGGCAGCTGGCAACCTACATCCACAATGCCTTGCGCAGCATGTGAAAAGTAGATATAATTATCTATTTGCAATGTAATTGGGGAGGGCAACAAGTGTCCATGTTACAGCATAGGACTTCACAAAGGTCTTTTGTGAAGAACTTTACTACACCTTTACTTACTCCATTTGTAAACCACCTTTCCCCCTAATGGGAACCCAAGGCGGCTTACTTTGTTCTCCCCTCCTCCATTTTATCCTCACAACAACCCTGTGAAGTAGGTTAGGTTGGGAGTTGTGAATGGCCCAGTGTCCACCCAGTAAACTTATATGGCAGAGTGGGACTTTGGACCTAGGTTCCCCAGATCCTAAACTGACACTCTAACCCTACACTACATTGTCTCTTTGAGATGTGAGTCTTCTGTTTTTGAAAATTAAGCACTGCAGAAACTATCACGGTCAATAGTGCAACTGAACTAGGCCTTGGGAGGGTTCAAGCATGTTGAGGCAAATGGGACTACTGGAGGGACTATTTTCAAATTTTACTTATTCTAGCTTTCAGGACTTACATCGGCACATAAAGGTGAACATTCTCAGTTTATTGCTAATATTTCTAATACATGTGCTTATACTGTATACATTTGCAGTGCTACACACTGCCTATGAGCATCTGCAGAGTGTCATTCCCCCCAAATTACAGGCACAAAAGCAGTTCAAGTGGTAGGAGCGTTCATGGCAGACAGCATGGCTCCTATACATGTCTGAACACAGACCCTTCTTCGAAGTACAGTCCACGGCTCCCTTGTTAGCCATTAGCATCAGGTTTAAACTGAACACACCCTTTCCCCTGCCATAAAAGTTGCCTCCAGACTGTTATCTCAGTTCCTGTCCAGCTAGTTTCCAGCAAATACACAAAAACGTTTTTGGTGGGTAGCTGTGTTGGTCTGAAGCAGTGGAACAAAGGTGCCACTGGACTCAAACTTTGTTCTGCAAATAAGTTTTGTTCACTTTCCTTCCTTCTTCCTTTTCACACACTCTTCCTGCTCACACACTCACACCAATCTTAATTTGCATCTTAATTGAAGAAAGGAACCTGCCTCCAAATGCAAGATACCTCTTCCTTGCTACTTTGAAACTACAGTAGCTTGTTCCCACGCACAACTAGTACGAGAAGGGGAGTTCAGGTAAATGGAACGGCTGCTTTTGGCATAATTGGAACACAGCTCCATAGCCCTATGACCATTCGTTGGTTTAAAAAATTATTTCCCGTTTTCCCCCGACTCCCCCATCATTCTTTAACAGAACCAGGGCAACTGTCCCTTCTGTGCACTGAATAAGTGGCCCTGATTTGGGGGGGGGGGATCCCTACCATATATACACCTATCACATGTGAGCTGGCAATGACTAATCAGGAAAAGGATCAATTAAAAAGATTCAAGTGTGCAACAGCTGGAATCACTTTGCACAAGAGTGATTCTTATGAATGGGATTGAGAAGGGGGCTGTCAATATAACAACTTCCTATAATTCTGTAACACAGCCACATTCAGAACAGTGTGTCCAATTCTGGTTACTCATGTAACCAGCTGAAGAGGATCATGAACCTGGCAGCCAAAACAATCAGAGACGGAGCACCTTTCCTATGAGTAAAGTCTAAAGCACTGGGGGGGGGGGAGGCAACCAGGGACAGGAAGAGAGGGAGGATAATAAAAGGTTTTTCTTATATTATACATGCTGCAAAAAAGCAGATTAAAGAAGGAAGTGAAATCGCTTTACCTGCCCAGTGGTGAGGAAATGGAGGTATAAATAAAGCTTGCAAAGGGGGTAGCTCTGTTAGATTGTTGCACCAAAGGAAACCCAAAAAATCCAGCAGCTAATCTGGAAATAAATATTGATAGTCTTTTAAGGCAGATGCTGGATTTTTGTGTTATAAATAAAGTGACCTAAGCAGACATTAATGCTGTGGTCTCACACTAAATAATCCACTTTCAATGCACTTTCCAACTGGACTTTGCCAGTTCCAGTTAGAAAGTGCACTGAAAGTGGATTGAAAGTGGATTATTAAGTGTGTGTGACTGCAGCCTGAGATGGGCAGCCATGTTACTATGTCTGCAGCAGAAGAGCAAGAGTTCAGTAGCACATTAAAGGCCCCGGTCACACGGGCAGGAAACTGCAGAGGAGAAGCGTGGCTGTTTGCCCTGGGGCAAACTACTGCGCAGTTACGTGATCAGACCTCCTGTGGAGGTCCTGTGGAGGTACCGTGGAGGTTCCATGGCAAGAGAGAGGTGCCGATCACAGGACAAGCCGGCGCACAACGAAGAAGTGCATGCCGCGGCAAACTGTTTTTTATTTTTGTGTACATGACAAATGCGCATGCTCCGTTGGGTGCGCATGCGCATCCACAGAGACTTGGACAAAAAAACCCCACCTTATTTGCAAGGGGACATGGGCGGGCGCCGGATGCCACCGGAAACGCGATCAGACGCCCGCCCTTGCCCCGCAGTTTCCGGAAACTAGCACCTCCAAGGTACTAGTTTTTTGCCACGCCGTTTCGGCTGGAAGCCTCGGTTGAGCCACGGGAGTGCTACGCTTCCCAGATGTGCTGGTGAGATCGCGCCCGGAAACTCCGGCTGTTTTCCGTCTCACTTGTGTGGCTTCTGTTACGTGTGACCGCAGCCACTGACTAACAAAGTATGTAGCAGAGTATGGGCCTTCGTGAGTCACTGCTTACTTCAAATTGTGAACTCTATCTGAAGAAGGGTGCAGTGACTCACGAAAGCTCCTCCTCCCCTGCTACATATTTGGTTAGTCTTTAAGGTGCTACTGGACTCCTGCTCTTTTCTACTGCTACAGACAGAGTAACACGGCTGCCCATCTTGTTCTATCTCCATGGAAGGCACCACATTTAGCCGCACAGAATGGAAATCCATCAGCCTTCTTCAGAAGTGAGCAGTGATTCACGAAAGCTAATACCCTGCCACAAATTTTGTTGGGCTCTAAGGTGTTCTATCCTGCCAACCTAGCAGTTCGAAAGCAAGAAATTGCAAGTAGATAAATAGGTACCACTTCAGTGGGAAGGTAACAGCGTTCCGTGCACCTTGGTGTTTAGTCATGCCAGCCACATGACCACAGAAACGTCTTCGGACAGCGCTGGCTCTTCGGCTTTGAAACAGAGATGAGCACCGCAACTCTAGAGTCGGATTTGACTGGCTTTCGAGCAAGGGAACCTTTACCTTTAAGGTGCTCTTGGACTCTTGCTCTTTTCTAATCCAAGCAAGCAATGGAGGTGTCAAATGAGCCAGAGGTGCTGGGACTGGATCAAGAGACGGCAAAATCCAGAGGAAAGAAAACCGTGACTCTCGCTTGGGCCATCCACAATGGCTCTGCCTAGCCCTACATCGCAGGGTGGTTGTGAGGATAAGCTGACGGAAGGGCATCCTTGGGGGAGAGAAAAGCACGGAGTAGAGAGGCAGGGCGGTTCCATGGGGGGCGGACAGCTCCTACCTGAGAGCCCTCCCTGGTCTGGGGTCCTTCAGAATACCCCCCCGCCCAGACCCGTCGAGACCTTCTCCTATCCTGAGACGCAGCCCCTGTAAGAGACCCCGTTTCTCCCTCAGGGGAGGGCAACTCACGTTAATCCTCCTCCTTCTCCTGCTCCTATTACCTGCTGCCGCAGGTTCAATCCAGCGGCGCGGCGCAGCCCCGCCCCCTTTTCTGCGCCGCGTGCGCATGCTCCAAATGATGCCCCGCCCCCATTCTCCAGCGGGGGCAACGAAAAGAGCTGGAAATCGCCTCGACCGGAAACGGGTGGAGCGCTGCGTGAGTCACGTGGGAGAGGTGGAGGCACGCTTCCGGCGTCCAGGTTACATTTTCTGGTGGAGTTCGGGTCTTTTTGTCGGGTCTTGTTCTCTTCTCGCCAATGGACTTGGAAGCCCTCGGCGGCTTTTGGGGTGCCTGAGGCTCCGTCCTGTCCAGGGTTGGGGTCGAGGGCTTTCTGGTTGCTGGAAAGGAAGAGGTAAGAAGTATAGGTTTACAAATTTCCCATTCATGGTATTTGCTCCTTTCTCTGAAAATAATCTGGGCTCTTCTTGAGGCTCCTGCAAGACTAATAGGATTTTGCTCTCACAGAAGCCTGTGTAGGATGCAGTTAAGATTGGCAGCTCTGGGTTGGGAGATATCTGGAGGTTTTGGAGTGGTGGAACTTGGGGAGGGCCGGATTTGGAGTGGGGAGGAACTTTTATAGTGCCATAAAGTCCATCCTCCAAAACAGCCATTTTATCCAGAGAACTGATCTTGGTCAACTGAAGATTAATTGTAACAGCAGGAGATATTCAGGTGTTACCTGGAGGTTAGCAACTGTATCTACAGCCCACTTCCCTTAGATACAGTAACATCTAGGTTGGTATGGTTGCCAACTCCAGCTCGTGAAGTTTTTGGAGTTTTGCAGACAATGTCTGGTGAAAAGCTCAGTGGGGCTGTGACGTCATAGAATCCACTCTCCAAAGGTGCCATTTTCTCCAGGGGAACTAATATTTCTAGGCTTGAGAGTTTCAGACTTTGCTGGTCTGCAGCAGAAGAGCGCGATTTGGGTCTACTAGCACCTTAGAGACCAAGGTACTATTGGACCCAAATCAAGCTCTTTCGTAGGCTTGAGATCAGTTCTGGGTGAATTCCGGAACTGACCTGGAGGCTGGCAACTCCTAGGCAGTGTAGCTACCTATATGTCAAATGGAGTGTCAAGCTGGCCAGCCCAGGTTCCAATCCACACTGCTGTGAGGATTAGTGCAGGAATTTAGGCCAGTTGATCTCTATGTCAGCTTTGCCTACTGCACAAAGCTATTAGTGAAACTCATTGCAGGGCCAGTTGTTCTTCCTGCTTTGCTTACGTCATGGGAGCTCTGAGGATAAAGTTGAGGAGAAAAGAATAATGTACCCTACCTTGGAGGAAGGGTGGGATAAAAATAAATAGGGTGAAAGGGCCATGAAACGCAGCAGGTAGAGGGTGAGATGCAATTACGTAAAATTCAGGTTTGAGCAAGAAAACTGCAAGGCCTGTTCATAGAAGCAACAATTGACAATGTTCCTGGTTTGCTGGCTGAGGAGTTCTGGGTTTTACTAACTGCATGTGCCACAGTAGGCTCCAGGAAAGCTTTGGCTGGGATAAGATCTTGTTAGTCCTTAAGGTACCACATGAACACACATGAAGCTGCTGTATAGTGAGTCAGACCAGTAGTCTACCAAGGTTAAGATTGTCCCTGGCAGGTTGTAACCACCGTTCCCTCTAAGCTGAGTTAGTGTGAGCTAGCTCGCAGTTTTTTAGCCTCTGGCTCACACACTTTTGTCTTAGCGCAGGAGGGATGGCTCCAGAGCAAATTAATTTATGCAGTAGCCAAATCGCAGTGATTATTCTGTGATGTACTGAAACAATTGACAAGAATGCCCATTGGAAACATTGGGAGCTCTCTGAACATGTAAAATGAGAATCACAAATGTCTGTAGACTATTGGGTTCCACTGAAACAAATTTTAGATAATGCAAAGATGCACATAAAATAGGGAACAGATTAGAAGAAATAAGGTATTCCCTGGAAGTAGATTGACTGTTCTAATTGTAGAGGCATGTCTGTTCTACTTTTGGTTTCTGTTTGGAGAGAAACCTCTGCAGTTCTTATATAAGGATCCTAGCAGAAAAAGAAAGTGAAAGTAAAACTGATAGAAAATTCTGAAATCTGGCTGGAAGTTGTTTAGTTAGGTGTCTGTGGTGTGCTGAGGTAGGAATATTTCCATCCAAAACCCTACTAAAATTTTAGTTAGGATACATCTGGACGTGCATTCAAGCTACAAGCCATACATAACTGATTGGAGGATTCAATTTAAAATGGATTAATTGCTACTGATTTTGAGAAAAGAAAACCAAGGCAGACCTATGGCAACCATGGTGGTGTTTTCAAGGTAAGAGGTGGTTTGCCATTGCCTGCCTCTGCTTCACAACCCTCAACTTCCTTCGTCGTCTCCCATCCAAATACTAACTAGGGCTAACCCTGCTTAGCTTCCAGATCTGATGAGATTAGGCTAGCCCGAGTGATTCAGATTAGGGCCCTGACCTTGATAGACCAATGGTATTACTCAGTATAAAGCAGTTTCCTATGTTCATATGATTTCCACTTTGATCAACATGAATGGATATCAAAAGGACTGAGCTTACATAACGGATGTAAAAACCCACCACACACTACAGGAGAAGCTCAGCGGTCAGCAAAGAGATTCTGGGCAGTAGGATGTTTTTACATGCTTTTATTTTGTTTGTTGTATATTGTGGCTTATCTGTTTGCATCTTGTTGCTTCTTTTAATTTCCTTGAGTCTAAAGAGATATGGTGGAATACAGATATTTTAAATAATGTTGTTTGTTACCTAGGTGGTGGAAGTTTGTACCAGCCTTGTCATGAAAACCTGGAATCTTCCAGCAAGATTTTCATAGGTATTGTGGAATGGTTCATTTTGAACAAGTGGAAATTTCACTTTCATTGCAAAATAAACCAGTTAAAGTATACAGACATTTGTAGATCATGAGATCTTTCATCGATGATAGGGGCATTGATGGTCAAGTGACCTCTAAACGGACAAAGAATTCATCGTACAGCCATAAAGGAAGAAAACAAATCAGCAGGGATGAAATGGGTAGCATGTTGGAACTCTGTGACCGTCTTGATTCATTCATAACACAGTTTATGCTAGTGCCTGAGGTCACGGTCTCCTTTGGACACCCAGAACTCATGAAAGAGGCATGTACTCTTCTTTCCTTGTCAAGTGAAGATGGTAGCTTGCCCCAGCTCATCTCTTATGATACTACCTTTAAACTTGGTGATTTCTATTTGTCTCCCATAGTCATGAGAAACATCAAATTGAAAGGCAACCCAGTATTCCCTTTTGCTTTTCTCCTCCATAGGGAAAAATGTACATCACACCATCAAGATTTCCTATGTGAAATAATTACAAAATTGGGGGCAGAGCATATGAAAAATGTACCACTTTTGACTGATAGAGAAAGAGGTATTAGACAGCTCTCACAAAGGAGCTCTCCCTACATCCCGAAGGTGTATCACTGGAATCATATTTTGAATGATGTCAGCACCTGGATTAAAAAGCATAGAAGAACCAATGACCCTAAGGTTTTAAAAGACCACATTGCATTGCTTTTGAATTCAGCATCTGAGGAAGAATATCAGCACAATTATGAACAGTGTAGTCTCCTGTGGAGCCAGGCCTTCAGAAAGTACTTTGATAAAGAACTGAAGGATGTCATACCAAACCATGCAGCCAGATTTTTTATTCAGAAGTTTTCAGCCTTCAAAAATGATGTTGCAGCAACCAATAACATTTGTGACAGCATGAACATGGTCATACAGAATGAATCAGATTGGAAGGAAATGCCTGTAGATTGCCTTATACATTCAATGTACCATATGCAGATTTTTTTTCTTTATGAATTCCAACGAGCATATTGTGGCCTCGGAAGTTATGCACTCAAGGAACAGTTTTCATACTTGCACAAAACAACAGGAGAGTCCCAATTCCCATTTTACTATCCTCTGGCAACAATTGTGGACAGTATAAAACTGGGCAAGCCCCTCCCAGGAAACATGGGGAAAACCAGAAGATTACAATGAAAATCAGACTTCTTTGGCCAAATTTTGCATAGACTCTGGGGGAGTTACCCTCTGCCCACAGACTGCTACCTTTACAGTGTGAGATGTTAATGGCTGCTGTCTGTTCCTGTGCCAGTAGTGAGCTCTGTTATCATATCATAGCAGCTCAGATGTCAATTGGGTATATGGAAAGAGGGAAAGGCAGAAATAAAAGAGCTGGAAGAAAAAGGCGCAGGCAGGGATCTATAGTTATAGCAGCACCTGACTCATTTTGGGGTGTGTTATAGGATGAAAATGTTGTGCTGGACAATCCAGGGAATGTTGAAGTTGCACTGGGCTAGTTCAGAGCTTGAGAGAACCAACACTTCAGGCTTTCTGTTAGAAGAACCATTTTGAACATATTGTACCCCCAAAGCAAAAGAGAGAGAGACCACTTGGATAATTCCTGGAACAGAGCAGCAACAGAAATGGACAGATAGTTCTTAAAATGCACACCTTTATAATAGAGTATCGTTGAAGTTTGGAGCACGGTGTTGGGATGAAAATTCAAGTCTACCCATTGTTATACATCACAGTGTGACTCTCAACAACAGTTTATACACACACACTGATACAACTATATACTTTCATGGAGAGCTATATGGCTTGCAGTATGGACACTGTACCGCTTCTGTTCAAAACTGAAGTCCCCAGTCCTGAGGCCCTTGTTCTGTTTACAAGGGTGGTGTTTAATGCATTCCAGTTTTTTTAGTCAGTTCCTTGTTGTACTTGTGCCTTTGCTGTATTTCACTTTTGTTTCAACATGAGAGAAAATGTTTCAGGCTGTAATCATCATAAGGCTTTTTGTCAGCATCCTGTATGGAATGCCAAGGAGGTGGCATGAATTATGGTACACAGGACTTTTGTTCAGGCAGGGTGTTCATGTTTATAAGGTGAAAGGAAATAATATGTGTTGGTAATACACTGTGTTAATAAAAGTATTGTTTTTTGCTGAGTCACTTCATTTTATTGGTATAGGCTAAGGTTGCTACCAAGCTCAGATTAGCAAGAGATCACTTCTTTGAGGCAGTTTTATTCCAGCCATGGTTTTGGGTCCAGAGTAACTGTCATCTTGTTTCCCTATTTACAGTCATATTTACTTATTTGATTCATAAACAATGTGCTGAAAGTTTATGACTGAAACTACATGGTGGCTTATTAAAAGTTATGCTATTTAACTACATTCATCATTCTGAAGGCATTATCTAGGGTGGGAGTTTGAATTAATAAAACGCATAACAAAAAATAGGTTGGTCCCAGTTGCTACCATGCTCTGGTACAATATGTCCTTTAGAAATCTTAGGCAATAACTCTCTTAAAGAAAGATAACATTGCAGGATCTATTTTGATACTAAGGACTTCTGTAGACTTTGCACCTAAATTTGGAACGGTGTCAGTATTTTAAACTGGGGCAGCCATAAGTAAACACTATGAACTTGGTGTCTGGATAATTGGTGAGGGTCTGTGGTCAGATACCTGCTCCATTCGGATATGGGGACTGGAACACCAAGTTAGTGTGTTCATTTGTCAACTGGTTTACAAATGGAACTAGAGGTGAAAAAGAGAACCAAGTCCCAATTTGGGAAAGGGTAGAAATAAAGCTCGTTTTTGGTCAGACTGAATAGGGAGCAGGAGCAAGGATTATAATCTGTGACTTGCACAGTATAATTTAAAAACTGATGTCAGTGGAAGATACATTCCCACCTGCAACTTTTTCAGTCATTTAAAGTTGAAATTCTTTGTCACATTCCCAACCAAGTTCTCCAAGGCTGCCTTTACCAGAGGAGATCTCCAGTGGAGAAGTCTGATCTTTCTCTTACCTCAACCTCTCCAGTGTGTGTGATTTTTAAAAAAACTTTGGGGAAGGAAAGCATCTGCTCTGCCCAGCAGGCAGGCAGGCTTCAGTGGGGATAGTGAATAATCTTGGGCATAGCCTGCTTTCTACTTCACAAAGGACACAAACACAGGTGTTGGTTATGGAAATCTCTGTCTCTACCTCACCACTTTCAGAACATACCATCAAAGCGAACGCCCAGTAGTTGGGACAGCTCCTGCAAAGACTGCCCCAATCATACAGGAGTGGCCATCCTTAGCCAATGAGCCAGCAATATGATTGGGGAAATATTGTATAAAGAAAAGGAAATCAGGAATGGCATTGTTGTGTGATGGTGTGCTTGTTTTCAGGTGGGTGGTCTGCTTGTCAGATACAAGCCTGAACCACTTTCTACCTTCACTGCCCCTTCCCTACCAATCCCAGCAAAATGGAAAGTTGGCCAGTCTTGTCCCTTGACTCACTTCTCCTTTTGTTGTTTTGATTTAGTAACACTGCCTGTTGCTTATTAGCTTATTTGATCCCATCATCCATTTCCTTTCCATGTTGTGCAATTGAACTGTGTGGTTTTGTTCACCAACAGCAATGAGAGTGATTTGAACTTGTAGGAGCCTTCTCCCAGTAGCGAGGGAGTGGCCCCTTTGGGCTTTCCTCCGTCAAGAGTCCAGCCATGCAGACAGCCGAGGTGAGTAAGGAGGGAGAGCAAATAAGGATCTCTGTGTACCAAGCCGCAGCAACACAGATGTGGCTGAAGATGGGGGGGGGGGGAGACCCACTAAACTAAAGCTATTTGCAAAAGCACAGGAGCCCAGCAGGAACAAGAATGTTGGCAACAGCCCCACGGTACAACAGCTGGATGTGCACTTGTCACTGCTGCTGTTGCTTCAAGCCTTGTTTACCATCTCCATTCCCGGTGCCTGTGGGAAAGGCCATTGCCTCTGCACCTTTTGCTCCAACACCAACACCACCCTGCTGTAACTTTCCTTATAAATGTGTGTAAAGTTATTTTCTTCCAATATACATCTGAAGGAGCAAGCTTTGGCTCAAGAACTCATTCTGGAATCAAAGTGGTTTGTTTTTTGGGTGCCACTGGACTTCAGTCTAATTTTGCCTGGAAGGAGCCAGGAGAGGGGTTATCATTAATGGTTAGCAACTACAACAACCAGGGCATGCAGGCTCAGTGAATAGAGGGTGAGCCATAGAGACAGGGTCCTCTTTCCCCTCCCCTTCAGCCCACCTGCTGATTTCTACATTTTGTCATTTCCCTGTTGGAGGAGATAAACTGTGTTCATTGAGATGATGTTCACCCATCTGCTCTAGGGTGTTTCATCGGTTCCATCTGCAGGTTCTGGTTCTGCTGCTCTGTGCAGCCAGGTTGTGAGCCTGCAGAGCAAAAGAAGTTTTGTTGCCAAAATTGCCATGGTTGGAGTAGAGTGTCTGGTGTATGCTTGCCATCAGGCAGGGTTTCATGGCTCACAGCTCTCCCAGGCCTTGTGCCTCCTCTGTGGCAGACATTCTTACTTGGTGTTGAGGGACGAGGGGCTATTAGGCCAGTATACACTAACTGCATATTACTGGGAGGAGGGAGGCATGAGATACATGCAGCAGTCATACAACCCCTGCCCCCATTCTTACTGTGTGAGATACTGTCAGACCTCGCTATGCTTTGCTTGCTTCGGTTGCCATGTTATTGAAGGGAAGGAATTCCTTAGGGGAGGGGGGGTGCGAGTGAGTGAATGAGACCTTTGCTTCTAGAAGACATAACTTTCCTCCTTCCCTCCCTTTAGCTTTCCCAAGGGAAGGTATTCTTGAGAGTTTCTCTATGTCATCCTCAAATGTAGATAACCAAGCCATATATCTCTTCCTTGGTTGGGATGATGTGAGCATGACGTGTGCTTGGAGAAGGGGAAGGGCCTTTTCTTTGAATGTACTATATTAAGGTTGTACTCGTCAAAAGTCTTTAGTTCTGACAGTGACTTTCCGGATCTTGTTGTTCAGTCGCACAGTCAAGTCCGACTCTTCGCGACCCCATGGACCAGATCCCGCCAGGCCCTCCTGCTTTCCGCTGTCCTCTGAAGTTTGCTCAATTTCATGTTCGTTGCATCTATGACACTGTCTAACCATCTCATCCTTTGCCGTCCCCGTCTTCTTTGACCTTCAATCTTTCCCAGCATCAGGGTCTTCTCCAGTGAGTGCTCCCTTCTCATTTGCTGGCCAAAGTATTTGAGCTTCAGTTTCATTATCTGGCCTTCCAGGGAACAGTCAGGGTTGATTTCTTTTAGGATTGACTGATTTGATCTTCTTGCAGTCCAAGGGACTCTCAAGAGTCTTCTCCAGCATCATAGTTCAAAAGAATCTGGATCTTGCATATACTCTAATAAACTTATCACTGCCAAAGAGAGAGTTGTGATGTATAACTGGACCGGGGTCTGTCAGAAGTCCCTCTTACTGCCAACCGTCACCTAAATCACGATGGCAGACGATGATGGAGGCACTGGGACGAGTACAGGCACCTGGTCAGAACCCAAGAACCCCAACATTGAACCCGACAAATGAAAGAACGACTGAGCTACGGGCACCAATCCCAAGAAGCATGTCATGTTCAAACCTAAACTGAGACGAGATAGCCCTGACAGATGGGATGACCCAGTGTGGTTGGTGAGCACTCCCAGCTTCAGAGGTGTAAAGGACCGACCTGAGTGTGAAAGGTGCAGAGTCTCCCGCACATTCCACGATGACCCCGAGTGAGTGAAAGTGATCGAGGAATGGGGAAACGAGGCTGAGGCTGGGCGAGGCCAAAGTGACCTAAGGGCTGAGGTGAGAGAGCTGAAAGAAGGATTCCAGTAGCTCGTGCAAAACCTCCCCAAGGTGGTCAAAGAGCTGATGGTGAAAGAATACTCCGAGGAATTGGAGGGAGAAGCTGAGATGGAGGCCCAACCGGTGGCACCTCCCAAGCAGGGAATGGACCTGCAGTCAGAGAGCCCTGGAAGCTATATTTGACGGCAGCCCAGGAAAGCTGGTGTTCTTTGGGATCCAGGTGCAGAAGCTTCTAAGAGAGTGGGGCCACATGTTTGCCTCCAATGAGCACTGTGTGGATTATGTGGGGTCCTGACTCCGAGACCAGGCTGCTGACTGGTTCGTAGGCCTCTACAATGTCCAGGCACCCGAATTGAGAGACGTGGATGCTTTGTGCCTCCCATTCAAGGATCCGCTCGAATTGGAGAAAGCATGCACTCGCTTCCGTGGGTTGAGACAAGGTAGCCGGTCGGTGCAAGAGTACTTGGATGAGTTCAAGTACTATGCTGCCAAACTCCAGGGGTGGTCCAGAGACAACCATTCTGGAGAAGGCGCTGGCTCAGGACAACCCCCTAACGCTGGGGGGAGGGTGGATACAAGTCACCTGTGAGGCTGAGAACCAGCACAACCTGGTGAAGCTGTACCAGCATAAAACCCCGGGAAGAGGGGTCAGGAGCCAGAGAACATTTCGGGGCAGGGGAGCACTGCCCGGGGGTGACCAGGAGAACTGGACGAGGCTCAGGCTATGTCTTCGACGCGGGAAATCAGGTAACTTGGTCACAGAGTGCCCTGGAGCCAAAAGTGTGGAAAGGGAGTGACGGGAAGAGCCAAAGGAGAAGAGGACCAAGGCGCTTGTAAGTGCCCCAAGACCCTGAAAGCTCTCCAGGCTGAAGCCCACGATACCCTAGAAGGAACCTCATCCTTCTCCAGTGATGATGAAGTACAGTCGGCGGGAAAAGGCCAGGACCTGCTGTGAAGGGCGCCAACCAGCAGGTTTGAAATACCCCAACGCATGAATTGGTGAGACATATCTCCCCCTTGTTACCATAATTAACCCCGAAGTAGGTACCCATATCCGGGTGTGGGCTCTTATAGACTCAGGGTGCACCAGAGACTTAATTAGCCCCGCAGATATCACGGGACTGGGGGCAAAGGTGCACAAACTCAAGGACCCTATAGTATTTTCCCAGATGGACGGTGCCCCTATGAAGGAGACTTGCCAATACCAGACGGCCCACTGGG